CGGAGAAAGACCTGTAATAAGACGCGTGGAGTACACGTAAGTCGCTACCAAGTAACGAACATGTATGGTACCCGTTCAATTATTCATCTAGAAGTATACGTACGAAGATAGGCAAGAGGGCTGGTATAATGCTGACGTACTATTACAACAGTTGTTGTATGCCTAATATAATATTAATAATACTCTCCCTATAAATCATCTCTTTACGAATTAATTTTAACCGCAAAATCCCGACTGAGCTTTTCGGGGAAGGGACGGCTCTATTATTATTTGCCGTGGCGCTCCGGGACGACTTAAAAATGATTGCTGGTGCCATTTGACTTAAATGTGAGGTAAACTACCATTATAAAAGTGCAAATACTGTTTTAAATGCACGGTGATAGTTACTGATGGTTGAAGTACTATACGGTTGTTTCAGACTCGTACATGTGCAGTAATCGTCGCGAAAGGGTCAACCCGAAAATGATTCGTAAGGGACCTAGAGCTCTTTGAAGTTGCGCTTTCAAGTCAAATTTTTCAACAGACCTTAAAAGTTTAAACTTTGCACTTTCATAAAGCTTCTAATGAGCAATTTGATTTTTTCTATTGTAATCTCAAGGGGCTGAAATAGGGGTCAAGACATTTTCAATTAAGTATAATTTTTGTAAACTCTAAGATATCTTGTAAAAATAATGTACTATCGTTTGAATTGACACACCTTTTTAAAGAAAATCTAATTTGAACTTTTTCCGTTTTTCCGATTAAGAAGAAATTAATTTATTACAGTACCAAGTTGGCTTTTGCAAAACAACAAAATTTTACAAATATAAACTGGAAAGTTTTAAAGTGTGCTAGCCTTTTGCCAGGTTTTTTTTTTTTTCGATCACCGACCAACAGTAAGTAGAGAGTAGGTATTTGAATTCGCAAAATAGTTTTAAAGTAAATAATCATATTAAAAATTACAGGTCATGGAAATAACGAAGGAAAACTACTTTGTATTCTTATTATAATAACTTAAAAGTCAAACGCAAAAAGTATTAAACTTCTTACTTGTTGTCATTGTCATTTTTACCACGTTACCAATACGTCTAGATCGTTTGTTTATTACATATACATTTAAATCTAACACTCTATCGCGTGATAAAAAATTTACAGCATCTCAATTGCATCAAATGTGGATAAACAAATACAGTTAATAAAGTATAAAAATGTTTAAATCCACTTGCATTTTTATTACCAGAAAAAATCTACTCTTGGCAACACCGCTTCAATTCCCTCTAATGCTGGCTCATTTATAATTCATAATGCAGTTCAGATCCTTCAAGTTGCTCCAATAACAGTTAGATGGCAGCAGTAGTATTACGTCTTAAAAATTCAATTTTATCTGTATCATTCTACTCATATTATTAGATAGTATAAGGCCAGTAAGTAAAGGCATACAAATTGAAAAATGTAACATTAATTTTAACATTTTTTATTCGTGATAAGATAAATTTCCGAATAAATCAAAACTTGACGATTTTGCAACTCGATACAGGATCGGCAACATCGTCAAAAATGACAAAAATTTAACATAGATGCAAATTTGATATTAGGTATTTTCATTTCAATATTTAAGATCTAAAGCTGAATTTGCAGCTACCTACTTAGGTATGACTTCGGCAATGTAATTAATTGCCGTTAGCTCATTATTTGATCTCATTTAGCAACCAAAATATTAACTTGCTTGCAAAATGACAGTATATATTTATGCATTTTTTATAATTTACTGGATTTTCTTTTTTTATTTATTTAAAAATCATTCGTTAAAATTGTAACACGTGCAAATATTGATTGCTAATGGCTGTATACATAAGTTAGGCTTGCTATTTATTTTGCAACAGCCCACGACGTTGGCAAACAGACGAAACTAGCATTAATAAATGTTTTGGACATTTTAATTATTGCTAGTTTCGTCTGTTTGCCGACACCATGAGCTGTTGCAAAATTAATTCCCTACCTAACTTACGAATGCCATCATTTTCAATTAATATTTGCACATTTTATAATTTTGCCGAATTATTTTTTGATAAATTAAAAAAGAAAATCCTTTTAATTTATAAAAAATGCACCGTGCCATCATCGGATAGAATTGCAAAGTTTTAAGGCATTTAACGCGATGTTAGCTAGTATATTGTAATTTTGCATTCATGATAATATTTTGATTATTAAAAATAAGAGCAAATAATGTTAATTAACAGCAATTAATTACTTTGCCGGCGTCATAAAAGGCTGCAAATTTAGCTTTAGATCTTTAATATTGAAATGAAATGAAATTTGCAGCTATATAATATTTTTGACCGTCGAGCAATCCATTAATTACGTTTTTTGTCATTTTTGACAATATTGCTGACCCTGTATTGAGTTGCAAAATCGGCTAATTTTGATTCACTCGGTAATATACCACGAAGTTTAAAAAATATTAGATTAATGTTAAATGTTTCACCTGTTTACTGGCCTAGTAAGTAATGTATATCTAGCTAATAATTATTTTAATAAGTACATTATTTTATATTAGAAATTGTTTGGTCAAGGTAATTTTGCTTTTTCGTTTATCACATTTTCATTATACCTACAATTTTAAGGCAAAAAATGGATTTAAAAACAAAAAATTACTTTTTTTTATTTAAAATTTATGGCCTTGGTATGGCCAATTAGCCAGACTACTTAGTTTATATTTTTTGATTACAAACAATTACAAATACACAATCTACGGATAAGTAGTATTTGTTAGTCGTTTCTATTATTTTTTAATTTTGTTTTTGTTTTTATTTTAATGTTCTCTTAAAAAATTACTATGGTTGTTTTGTTGTTTTCTGACCGGTGTGAAGTTAACAGCCACTTTCTAGCAACCCGTTTACCGGAAACGCCCGAATTATCAGTGGCGTCGAAATGTATTTTTCTGTGAAGAAAACAGTGTATTAAAATAAAATTACTACTAAATTTTTAAGAAACAAGTGTTTAGAGAGGGGATGTAGGGGTAAACTAAAATAAAAATCCTTTAAAAATTCATTAAAAAATCAATGTTTCTGTAAAGATAACCAAATTGTTAAAAACTATAAAATACAAACTAAAAAAAATTAACAAAATCACTTATAAAGGGGATTGGGGGGTCAAATTAAATAAAATTCCATTGAAAATCTACTTAAAAATTAATTTGCCTAAGAAGACATTCCGGTATTGAAATATAGTTAGTGCCAAATTGTTAAAAACCATCAAATACAACCTAAAAAAATTAACAAAATTACTTAGGAAGGGGATGAGGGGGTCAAATTAAATAAAATTCCTTCAAAAATCTATAAAAAATTAATTTTTCTAAGAAGACGATCCAGCATTGAAATAAAGTTAGTTCCAAATTGTTAAAAACTATCAAATACAACCTAAGAAAATTAACAAAATCACTTAGGAAGAGGATGAGGGGGTCAAATTAAATAAAAATCCATTAAGAATCTATATAAACAATAATTTTTCTAAGAAGACAATCCGGTATTGAAATAAAGTAAGTGCCAAATTGTTAAAAACTATAAAATACAAATTAAAAAAATTAACAAAATCACTTAGGAAGAGGATGAGGGGGTCAAATTAAATAAAATTCCATTAAGAATCTATATAAACAATAATTTTTCTAAGAAGACAATTCGGTATTGAAATAAAGTTAGTGCCAAATTGTTAAAAACTATAAAATACAACCTAAAAAAATTAACAAAATCACTTAGAAAGGGGATTAGGGTGTCAAATTAAATAAAATTCCATTAAAATCTATTTAAAAATTAATTTGCCTAAGAAGACAATCCGGTATTGAAATAAAGTTAGTGCCAAATTGTTAAAAACTATCAAATAAAATCTAAAAAAATGAACAAAATCACTTAGAAAGGGGATTGGGGGTCAAATTAAATAAAATTTCATTAAAAATTAATTTGCCTAAGAAAACAATTCGGTATTGAAATAAAGTTAGTGCCAAATTGTTAAAAACTATCAAATAACATCTAAAAAAATTAACAAAATTACTAAGAAAGGGGATTAGGGGTCAAATTAAATAAAATTTCATTAAAAATCTATTTAAAAATTTATTTGCCCAAGAAGTATTGTATTTTATAGTTTTTAACAATTTGGCACTAACTTTATTTCAATACCGGATTGTCTTCTTAGGCAAATTAATGTTTAAATAGATTTTTAATGAAATTTTATTTAATTTGACTTCCTCATTCCCTTCCTAAGTGATTTTGTAAATTTTTTTTGGTTTTATTTTATAGTTTTTAACAATTTGACACTATTTTTATTTCAATATTCTGTTATCTTTATAGAAAAATTGATTTTTTTAAAGAATTTTTATTGGATTTTTATTTCAGTTTACCCCTTAATCCTCTCTCTAAACACTTATTATTTGTTTCTTAAAAATTTAGTAGTAATTTTATTTCAATAGACTACCGCCACCGGCCGTACCGTATTTGTAATTTCTCAAGGTTACGCAATGAGACGTAGCAGGGATACAGTATCCCGGCCAGTTATCTCTGATCCCGGCTGACGAAGATTATTTGTTTCAGTTTTATATTTTGCCAAGCGCCGGAGGCACAAAACACAGCCAAAGGCTTATGCTGACCACCTATCTCTTTGGAAACAAATACTAATGAGTGATTTGGAAATGTCTGAGCCTGAACCATTTCAATCCAGTGGTTCAGAATTTATCCCTGATGAAAATGAATATGATTCTAAAGCCGATGATGCGGCTATTCAACAAAACAAATTATTAACAAAATCAACCCTCCAAAGCCAATGTAAAGATACCGGAAACCTTCTTTTCAAACATCTTGTATTAAGAACCCAGACCCAGTCGATAAAAATTTCCGGAAATATGAAATTACAAAATATTTATCTAAAGACACGGCTGGCTAATAGTTCAGAAAATGTATTGAATTGGTGGAAGAGGCACGAGACTGTATTTCCAATATTGTCTAAAATGGCTAGAAATTTCTTATCCATACCTGCTACATCGGCATTAATAGAGAGGATTTTTTCAAGAGCTTCTCTAACAATTACCAAACGAAGGAATAGACTAAATGATGAATCTGTTAGATGTTTAATGTCTTCAAATTCTTGGACGGCTAAAAGAGTTTTAACAGACTTTATTTCAACATTAAAATGAAAAAAAAATTAAAATGTAAATCAACATTTATAATTTGTGAATCAAGATTTCTGTTCTATTTTAATATCCAATAAACGAAGTAAATACAATTTTTTTTCATGCATTAAGCAGCTTTTCTTATATTCAAGAGGAAAAACTTGTATTTCGTGCAAAACTTTTTAATTAATAAATGCAAAGCGCTTTCGGCATTGTGCCATCATCAGTGCTTATTGTCCACAAACAAGCCTATCCACCAAGTTCTTAGTCATCCTCGCTCCCAAAATTAAATATTTCTGGAGATTCACAACTAGCTAAATCAAAATTATTACTATTAGTAATATTTTCAAATTTAAATTAATTTATACATTTATTTTAATATTGTTTAACCGACTGTTTCAATATGACAGTGGTGACAAGCGACACTTAAAGACGTTGAAGTGTCAAATTAAAAAGTTTTGCACGAAATACAAGTCTTTCCTTTTGAATCTAAACTACGTGCACACAGCTGTCAACCTCAGAAAAAGATATATTAAAGCTGGTTTCTTTAGGAATATTAATTAATATAGAGGATGAGTCACATAAAACACTAGAAATGCATATGTCTGAAACCAGATAATATTTTAAAATTTAAACCTATTAAAAGGCATTTGTTCGCTAGGAGTGGGTGATTATCGAAATAAATTATTGATCATTAATAATAATCGATTATTTTCGATCAATCGATTATTTTCAAACAATCTATTTTTGTTCGTATTTCCTTTAAAATCGACTACTTGATTATATTTGAAAAATCAAAAATAATAATAATAATAATAATTTATTTCCCAAATAACAATATACATACAATCTTAAAATTAATTGAATACATGATATAAAAAAGAAATCACAATAAAGATGAACTTTATTTCACACATATTTATATTGTGGAAAATAAATTGTGGGCAGTCCCATGATTTTTCAAAAAAAAAAAAATTATTTCCTTTAAAATCAATTATTCGATCATTTTTGGAACATCGAAAATAATCGCTTAATCAAAAATAGTCGATTAAGGGAAAATAACCAATTAATTAAGAAGCCGATTCTACGATAAATCGATTTTACCAAAAAAATAACTGAATTATCGATTATTTTCAAATAAACCTTTTGTTTTCATATTTCATTTAAAATTGATTATTTGATTATCTTTGAAAAATCGAAAATAATCGATTAATAAAAGGGTGAATGACCGATAATTCTAAAAAATAACCGAAATATCTATTATATAAAATAACCAATTATATTCGATCAATCGATTATTTTCATATAATCTATTTTTTCGCTTTTCTTTTAAAACACATTATTCGAATACCTTTGAAAATTTGAAAATAATCGATTAATCGAAAATATTCGGTTAATCGAAAATAACCGATTATGCGAAAATAACCAATTAAGAAGCCGATTCTACGATAAATCGATTTTCCAAAAAAAAAAAATAACTGAATTATTGATTATTTACAAATAATCCTTTTCTCTTTTCATATACCTTTTAAAATTATTTAATTTTCTTTAAAAAATCGAAAATAATCGATTAATAAAAAGCTGATTGACCGATAAATCGATAATTCTAAAAAATAACCGAAATATCGATTATATGATATAACCGATTATATTCGATCAATCGAATATTTTTATATAATCTATATCTTGTATTTTAAAACAAATTATTCGAATACCTTTGAAAAATCGAAAATAATTGATTAATCGAAAATATTCGGTAAATCGAAAATAATCGATTAATTTAAAAAGTCGATTAAACAATAAATTGATTTTTCTAAAAAAATCGATTATTTTCAATTACCTAAAAAAACGAAAACAATTTATTGAAAATGTTCTATTAATCAAAAATAATCGATTAATTATAACGGATAAATCGATTTTCATGAAAACGATAAATCGATTATTTGTGTAACCCCTATCGATCTTATGCTTTTATCCGAGCATTTAGCTCCAAAATTTAGAGATTCGGATTTATTGATCCTGTTATCTTTGAAATCCATTCGATTGTATAATAAATATTGCTAGAATTTAGATTTTTTTAGTAAACGAAAGTTTTTTTTCGAGTTGTTTAGGGGTTTATAAAGTAACATTTTACTAATAATATGACTAATTTCCGTAACTTTAGTATTTTTTTGCTACTACTAGATCATACTGCGAGTTTTACTTTGTTTTAAGCGTAGTTCTATTAGTTAATCATTTAGTGAACACAGCTTGCATGAAAATAATGGGCAACTTTAATTCTGGATTCGAAAAAAATCAAGATTTTTCAAAAAAATAAAATAAGAGATTTATTAAAAGACATCAATAAGAATCAAAAAATCGTGATTTTTCTGATTTTTTAGTTTTGAATGTGTTGTGGTTTATTTTTAGAGGAAATAATACCCCTCTACTTAATATTTGATTCATATTTCTCAAAATAAACAAAATATTTAAACCATATTAAGTTCAGGTTATTTTAGTTAGTAAGGTAAAGCAACTTTAATGTAGTTTGAAAAATAATAAAGTTTGTTATACGGTTTTTTTTTTGTTCACCTGACAATTGACTTACTTACTTACTTACTTACTTACTTACTTACTTACTTACTTACTTACTTACTTACTTACTTACTTACTTACTTACTTACTTACTTTACTTACTTACTTACTTACTTACTTACTTACTTACTTACTTACTTTACTTACTTACTTACTTACTGAAATTTGTGTATGTAAATACATATTAGGAACCCTGTTCTCATTACTTTATTAACTGGCAAACAGTTAATTTCAGTAAATGTTTTTATTAAACTTAAGAAACAATTTAAATTGACAGCATATTCAACTAAAACTAAATTAAAAGTTCTTATTTATTTTAAATGATCTGTAAGCAGTCTTAATTTTTCTCATAGTTGCATTCTTAATAGAAAATGGTTCATTTCCAATAAGTTCGATAGGGCCAAAAAAATAAAACGGATATCTATGTCATCAATATCATTTTTAAGGGGCCATGTAAAACAGTTCTCCGTAATTTCTTTTAAAAATTTCATATGTGCTTTCTGGTTTTCATGGAAGTTATTCGCCCTATAAAAAATTGTAAATCATAATTGTAATATTTTTCAATATCTAGGTTTATATAGGGTTGTTATTTTGGATGTTTTCATGTTCTTCAAAATATTCAGTATCATCAGACGTATCGTCATATTCCACAGGGTCATTTAATTCAGTTGAAATGTCACTGTCAGTGTATTCTTGTTCTTTACGTTGTTTGTGCTTTTTCTGTTTTTCATTTTCAAAACTTTTTGAACATAACTTTCTACATTTTTGGAATAATCCACTGCTGCCACATCCCACGGAGCAGTACCACATCGTTTGAACCCATTCACCAACCATGTGGGTTTTATCTGTTCAATAACTTCTTTAAACAGCAGGGGAAAATTGATTTTTTTTAAGGTTTCGTGAAAGTTATCAATTTTCCGTTTGTGTGCTGTTTTCTTCCATGCCTCCTTCATAGGTTTGAATACACTAACATCACATGTTTGCATCAAATGGGTAGTGTTGGAGGGGGGGTACAACGCAACAATAATTATTTTATTTTCACAAAACTTGCTTAGGTGCATGGTCAGGTGAGATTTATGGCCATCAAGGAAGATAATTATTGGAAGCTTAACCTTTTCTTTTAATAGCCAGGGATACATAACATTAGTAATGTACTCGTAAAATGCTTCGTCCGTCATCCACCCTCTTTCGGTTTTTCCCACAGCCCAAGGATTAGGAACATTGCGAATAATTTCGCCAGGAATTCGAATGTAAGGTAAAACCAAAAAAAGGCGGCAACACACAACCATCAGCACGTATGTTTATTGTCACTGTTATGGATTCCTTGTCTGATCCTTTTACGACATCACAAATATTTGCAAATAAATTTGTCACACTAGAAAAACCAAAAATATAAATATTTGTTCTGAAACACATCAAAATAAACAACAAGTGCATTTCTATATGTCAACAGGTGCTAACAGAGATGTGCGCTCGCGTGAAACATTGACGTTGCCGTAGTTTACGAAATATCCGTGGTGGTCCGTCACTCCTCCTGGTCCATCTCTCTTCTCTTTACCCTATAAACAAACACTAACGCCCTATCAATTTGTGGCTTATATTTTGGATACAACCAAAACCAAATTTAAATTGACTAGTGCAGAAAATAATTCTTCATTTATTATTATATTTTCAACAGTTACGTTTTCAGAAGAGGTATTATCCAGTGCTAGTTCCTTACAGTGGTAAGTTTTACAACAGAATATTCCAGAAGTTGCAAAAATTCCTTTCTTGAAACCATTTTTATGTGCTGTCTCCTCATCAGCTTTGGTAGAGGCAGTATTTTCTGCATTTGGAATCATTCACTCCAATTTACGAAATAAATTAGAAGTGGAGAGAGCATTTTTATACAAATACTATATACTTATATTTTGTAAAACAAATAAATGTTCTGATTTAAATCATTGAACGTAATTGTTTGGACTCAAATTTATAGTTTATATTCACTATTTACACTCACAATTCTTTGAAGACATACACTGATGATGGCAGTATGCCGAAAGCGCTTTGCAATTTAAATAAATATAATTTTGAACGAAATATAAATCTTTTTTGCTATTCAAATGATTTAAATCGGGCCAACCCTGCTTTAATTTCTGTTAAGGAAAATCGAATTTTCCATATGTTATCCCCCGGAACCACTTGTAAATTTCCTTTCATTTTACTCAAAATCAAGGCTTTTATGTGAAAATGGGGCACCTAAACCTGTCATTATCTGACGGTCTAAAATGTAATGGTCTGATTTATACCTTGCACTCAAATTTGACACCTCTTAAAAAATATTGTCAAATAAATTTTCAAAAATTCCGCAGCATTTTACTGATTCTCAAAACTCGAGGGCTATAGCAAAATTGGAAGAAAATTGAAGTGAATGAATTAAAAGTATTGACCATATTGGAGAAAATGGATATTTCAATATTTATTTATAACTTTGTTTTCACGGAAATTGGATTAAAAATATTTATCTTTTTAAAAATGGCATTCGAACTTTAGAATGATAGGTCACAAGTTATCTGATAAATGAAGCTCTATTTTGGGGATATTGTATCTTTATCATACTAATATATGTTGTGCTTATTAAAAGAAATGTTAGGAATGCCATTTTATTGCATTTTACGAATAACATAAGTCGAAGGCTCTAATTCCTTTTGGTTAGATTATTTTAATTTATAAATTTGATAACAATTTTGTTATATTCTTAATGACAGTTCAGGCCATTTTGATTGCTTTTTAATGTCATGAGATTCGATACATTCGTTCTAAATAATTATAGTGATTTCTTTTTCTATTTAAGTGAAGGTTGAGAAGAAAAAGTTACTCTATGCCGAAACAAAGATATTCGATGTTCAACAATTATACTTTATAATAAAACAACATACACTTAGATTAAATTTGCAAATTCTAACTCACGAACATATGACAAGAAACAGGAATACTTACTTAAACATAATAACAAAAAAATCTATTGGACAAAAAGTTTCTTTTTTTTTGGACCTAAATTATATAACGCTGTACCCGAAAAAATTAAATCTGAACCTTCTATAGATTAAAAACGACATTAAAAAAATACGTACAGAGTACGACTAGAAACGTCAGACATAACCTAGTTGAAAGTAGCTAATAGCAATGTTTCTATCTATTTTATTCTATTCTATTCAAGTCAAACTGTCATTGAAATTTTTTAATAAATAACAAACTAAATGTTTTTCTCATGTTAAAAATTATATTTTGTGTTTCCTTTTATTTATCTATTAATATTGTATATTTTATTAACATCTATATTTTAAATTTTTCAATTTACTTTTAGTATAGTATATTTTATAAGCATTTGTAGCATTTCCCTTGCAAATAAGACACTGCACTTTATATTTATTGTAATTTCTGTGAATAAATATTTTTGATTTGATTTTTTAAAAAAAATAAGTTCGTTTTTCTGACGTAAAAGCTCGGGAGGCATAGAACCTTCCTTGATCCCTTCCTGGCTGCGGCATGTAAAAACTGGTTATAGGGCAAATACCTCGCCCAAATATCTTGCTTATTATTATTACTTCATTTAGTAATTTTTATTCTATGATCACTTTCTTAAATTACTCCACACAATATACTCATAGGTATTTCATGTTTTCCTGGGTATTCCCAGGTATTCTCGGGTATTATTTGGCAATTCTCTGAATCTATGTTTTAGAGGGTTACTCATTCTAATGTATCCGGTGTCTAAATAAGAAAGGACACTGGACGTCGGCGACCGTAGTATAGAGTATAATATATCACAAAAACAATGCGTCGTAGAATTTTGGGAAACAAACTTTTAATGCAAAAGTGGGCAAGAGCAATCACTCGAAATTATTATCAAATATATAACTTGGCTACTAGATGGCCTAATGCTTATGATCAATGGTAAATAGATAAACAAGTGAGTAGTCCAAATTTAGCATAACCCATAGAGGAAAGTACCACTGGCCCAGGTTTGGCCCAACTATGTAGTACTCTGGGTCAAGCTTGTAAGCCAGTCTTTAGCCAGCCTTGGTAGAAGTTTGGAATGATAATCTCGGGACAAGCTTGGTTATCAAAACTGGTCCCTTCTTCATTGTTATGGTAGGGCCATTTAAATGTCATGACTGGCCCAAACTTAATTTTAAAGGCTGGGCCGTGCGTTATTTCCAGGTTTGGGCCATGTTTGATTACCAGACATTCACCATGCTTGGTTGGCAGGACTAGGCTACTTGTAGTTGTCCGAATTAAGTAATTAATTATATAATAAAAAAAATAACTATATCCATACCATCAGGTCACTATCACTACTGCCGTTAGAATGACTTTTATCAAAATCATTGTTCAATGTCTCTAAATTACATGGTTCTGTACCACTGGGATAATTAACCTCATCTACATTGCTGTTAGAAGTTTTATTACTTGAACTTGGCGCTTTGACACCTAAAATTTTTTCTGTATTTAAAACTTTTTTTTATTTTATTTATTTTTCGCCACCTTTTTAACTTTAAAGTATAAATCAGATATAACGATATCTGTCAAGTAGCAACAAAAAGTACGATTTAAAGGTTAACAATAAAGAAACTCAACTACAAATATGCACATAAAAATAGTTCGACTGTTTCTGTACTAAACAAAATATACTAAACTTAACTTGTTTAATAAACTATATACGCTGTAACGCTAAATTACCACAGCTGAGAATTCCAGTCTTGGCCCAAAGCTGGGAAACCACAGGTAAGGCCGAGGCTCGGTTTTCCAGTCCTGGGCCAGGGATGGGTAACTACAGGCATGGCTTAAGCTAGATCTCACATTCTTGGCCCAATTCTAGTTAGCCAATGAATGGCCGAAGTTGGGCATTCCAGCATTGGCCTAGAACTGGGAAACCACAGGTAAGGCCGAGGCGCGGTTACCCAGTCCTGGACCAAGGATGGTCAAACACAGGCATGGCCAAGGCTGGGTCTCCCAGTCTTGGCCCAAAGATGGGAAACCATAGGCATGGCCACGGTTCAGTACCCAGCCCTGATCGAAGCATGGGCCAATATAGGTACGGCGAAGCAAGGTTCCCCAGTACTGGGCCAAGCATGGTCCTTTTGTTCAACTCGGAGAACTCCTTTATGGGAATTTCCCACAGATTGCGATCTATATATTTTTGACCTAGGCTTGACGCCTCCTAGCGGCGAAGTTTGGAACTTGAAAATCATTTTTAGCGATTTATATGGACCAATTTTGTTACGGAAATTTTTTTTTACAGCTGTACGATAAACGGTTAATAAAATTATATTTCTATATAGCAGGGGACAATTCGTTGCTTACAACGCTTTCTATTCTAGAATGTATTATTGTCCTAAATCAGGTGTGTCTCAAGGGTCTAATTTAAGATCGTCACTCTTTTTATTATTTATCAATGATCTTTCCACATCATTAAAGTGATAACATAATGTATATTATGTAATTTCTTTATTTATTAATATTATCCTACAAATAAACGTTGTTATTATTATTATTATTATTATTATTATTCATTATTTGCTGATGATTTGAAAATTTACCTAAATGTGACTTCTGAATTACATTGGTTAAAGTAAAAAATAGTACAGAAATAGTACAGAAATAGTACAAAAATAGTACAGAAATAGTACAGAAATAGTACAGAAATAGTACAGAAATAGTACAGAAATAGTACAGAAATAGTACAGAAATAGTACAGAAATAGTACAGAAATAGTACAGAAATAGTACAGAAATAGTACAGAAATAGTACAGAAATAGTACAGAAATAGTACAGAAATAGTACAGAAATAGTACAGAAATAGTACAGAAATAGTACAGAAATAGTACAGAAATAGTACAGAAATAGTACAGAAATAGTACAGAAATAGTACAGAAATAGTACAGAAATAGTACAGAAATAGTACAGAAATAGTACAGAAATAGTACAGAAATAGTACAGAAATAGTACAGAAATAGTACAGAAATAGTACAGAAATAGTACAGAAATAGTACAGAAATAGTACAGAAATAGTACAGAAATAGTACAGAAATAGTACAGAAATAGTACAGAAATAGTACAGAAATAGTACAGAAATAGTACAGAAATAGTACAGAAATAGTACAGAAATAGTACAGAAATAGTACAGAAATAGTACAGAAATAGTACAGAAATAGTACAGAAATAGTACAGAAATAGTACAGAAATAGTACAGAAATAGTACAGAAATAGTACAGAAATAGTACAGAAATAGTACAGAAATAGTACAGAAATAGTACAGAAATAGTACAGAAATAGTACAGAAATAGTACAGAAATAGTACAGAAATAGTACAGAAATAGTACAGAAATAGTACAGAAATAGTACAGAAATAGTACAGAAATAGTACAGAAATAGTACAGAAATAGTACAGAAATAGTACAGAAATAGTACAGAAATAGTACAGAAATAGTACAGAAATAGTACAGAAATAGTACAGAAATAGTACAGAAATAGTACAGAAATAGTACAGAAATAGTACAGAAATAGTACAGAAATAGTACAGAAATAGTACAGAAATAGTACAGAAATAGTACAGAAATAGTACAGAAATAGTACAGAAATAGTACAGAAATAGTACAGAAATAGTACAGAAATAGTACAGAAATAGTACAGAAATAGTACAGAAATAGTACAGAAATAGTACAGAAATAGTACAGAAATAGTACAGAAATAGTACAGAAATAGTACAGAAATAGTACAGAAATAGTACAGAAATAGTACAGAAATAGTACAGAAATAGTACAGAAATAGTACAGAAATAGTACAGAAATAGTACAGA